AGTGCAAAGAACCTACATGCCAGCAATTCTACCCATCCAAACAACAGTAAAAGCAGCAATTCTAAGAATCACAGCTTAAAGTGAAATTAAGATGCTTGAAGGAACCTGCAGTCTCATAGCTTACTGTACATTTGAACAAAAGAAACTGAAAGGCACTGCTACCCTAGATTGGGGGGCGGGAGAGGGGAGCTGAGGCAGCATAGAGGCTTGCAACTCAGTCCATTAGCACCTCAACTGCACATTAGTCTATACTCTAAAATTACAGGATTCTCTGTCTTTCCTGGAGTGGGCTTTCATTCTGAAAGGTAAACCCAATCCAGACCGGGATATACTGCCATCAAGTCTGCTAGTTCCAAGACAACAGTAGTGCTGCTGCAGCCAACGACTCCTTGGCATAGACATGTGAAAATGATATTGGCGGCAGCACCGTCTCTTCTCCTTCACCCTCTGCTGTTACTATAGCTCCTTTTGCTAAATCTGCCTCTGAGTTTAGACAGGAGCTGGATGGTTAGTAATCACCCAGCAGCTGCAGCTGAGCAATACTCAGCCTAATTGTGGCACTGGAGCAGCTGAGAAGAAGAAAAGAGATAATACATACCCTACCAGAGCCATACACAATCTACCAATAAGACAAGAAGACACTTTAATAGGAACAGATTATTTCCTTTAAAGAAAAGCAGTTGTACCTCGCTATTGGACTTATATTTATATTGTAAACCTGTGTAAATGTGAACTGAAGGTGACCCAAGCCATGTAGGGTTCTAAACAATAGAAGATCTTACTAAAACTTCCTGTAAATATTCACACAACAAAGCCTGCACCACGAACATCACCTTTATAACATGACAGAAAGTTCCTGTGATATAAGAATTTGGCACAGATGTGATCTCTCCTTCAACTCTGCAACAATGCAAAGGCACAACATCAACAACTAAAATAGCAAGCCATTACATAAAGCAAATAAAATAGCATGACCCAATGATTCTCTGCATTTCTGAAGCTCCAACACCATATTTTAATTTGCTTTCTTTTGAACCAAAACATATTTATCCTTCATTCAGGTGCTGTAAATCTTCATGAACTTTAAACAAAAATTTATTTTATGCTGAAATTTTATGGCATTCTTAAGAATATAAAAACTAAGGCCGAAATTACTGATCTAAAGAATTACTGTTCTAGAAAACTGAAAATAGTTTTGAGTTTTGTCATGTAATTTTCAGACAAACAGAGTATTTGATAACAAAACAGTATCCATTAGTTCAATAAACATTTTGATTACCATCTACTGGTTATTTACAAAATACAAGCCAGAGGCCGGGCGCGGTGGCTCAAGCCTGTAATCCCAGCACTTTGGGAGGCCGAGGCGGGTGGATCACGAGGTCAAGAGATCGAGACCATCCTGGTCAACATGGTGAAACCCCGTCTCTACTAAAACTACAAAAAATTAGCTGGGCATGGTGGCACGTGCCTGTAATCCCAGCTACTCAGGAGGCTGAAGCAGGAGAATTGCCTGAACCCAGGAGACAGAGGTTGCGGTGAGCCGAGATCGCGCCATTGCACTCCAGCCTGGGTAACAAGAGCGAGACTCCGTCTCAAAAAAAAAAAAAAAAAAAAAAAAAAAAAAAAAAAAAAAAAAAAAAAAAAAAAAAAAAAAAAAAAAAAAAAAAAAAATACAAGCCAAAGTAGATTTTAATTTTGTAAAACCTGTGTCTGTCAAAATATTACTTATTTTTTAAAAAGCAAGTAGAAATTCAGAAAATTTTTCCAAAAATTCTCTAATTATTGTACATTTGGGAGTATTTGACATTTTGTTTCTGTTTTTTATTTTGTTATACTTGTTGAGACAGAGTCTCACTCTGTTGCCCAGGCTGCAGCACAGTGGCACTACTATCTCAGCTCACTGCAACCTCTGTCTCCCAGGTTCGAGCCGTTCTTGTGCCTCAGCCTCCCAGGTAGCTGGGATTACAAGTGTGCACCACCACACCCAGAAAGTTTTTGTACTTTTGTGTTTTTGTTTTTGTTTTGAGACAGAGTGTTGCTCTGTCACCCAGGCTGGAGTACACACTGCAACCTCCTCTGCCTCCTGGGTTCAAGTAATTCTGCCTCAGCCTCCCGAGTAGCTGGGAATACAGGTGCCCGCCACCATGCCCAGCTAACTTTTAGACCTTTTTTTTTTTTTTTTTTTTTTTTGAGATGAAGTCTCACTCTGCAGCCCAGGCTGGAGTGCAGTGGCATGATCCCGGCTCACTGCAACCTCCGCCTCCTGGGTCTCGGTTCAAGCAATTCTCCTACCTCAGCCTCCCAAGTAGTTGGGATTACAGGCACAAGCCACCATGCCCAGCTAATTTTTGTATTTTTTAGTAGAGACGGGGTTTCACCATGTTGACCAGTCTGATCTTGAACTCCCGACCTCGTGATCCACCCGCCTCGGCCTCCCAAAGTGCTGGGATTACAGGTGTGAGCCACCATGCCCAGCCTGACGTTTTCAAAGCAGTTATATATACCAGCTGGTATATGACAATCATGATTTAATAAATTTAATCCTATTGGCAGAGGATAGCCCAGGTGGTGTTCTAAAGTTAGTCACCAAATATATTCTTAAACCAAGCACCTTATATAGTACATTACACATTGACTTTCTAAAGAAAAATAAATAAATAAAAAGAGTTTCAAGTAAAATAGAAACAGAAAAGTATACAAATGTATGGCTTAATGAATTACACTAAGACCAATACCCTTGATAACTCCCACCAGGTTAAAAGAACTTTATCATCACTTCAGAAACCAGGTCTCCATCACAATCTCCTCCTTCTTCCCATATCTTCCCTTTCATAGAACCACAGGTATTTTTTGCTTCTATCTTTATGTTCACAGAAATTTCCTTGCAGGGTTTTTTTTTTTTTTTTTTTTTTTTTTTTTGTTTTTGTTTTTGTTTTATTATCCAAGTTTGGGTGACACCAGAGCTTAGCATCACTTAAATTTTTTTTGGAATTAGTCTTTTTTCTTACTATAATGCTAACAGAATAAGTGATGCCTACACTGATTTTGTAAAGAGAAACTAACATGATGCAAATTTCTGAATAAGTCTTACACCATGGGTTGGTAGTATTTCACTTATACAGGGTTACTTCTATCCTTTTAGCACATTCATTCTTTGATCATTACATATTGTGGAGGAATTTTACTTGCATAGACATTTTCTCAGCTTGTGAATTTCCTGAACACACACACACACACACACACACACCATGTATTAATATTATACTTTGACCATAAGACAAATTCCACCTATCCCAGGAAGATAGGTCAAAGCTGTATTTTCACTTTCAGATGAAAAGAAAGGAATCAATTTTGTGGTTTATGAAGTCAGCAAAACCTAACTGCAAAATTAAAGCTATTATAACATTACGGTGGTTACAGCAGAGTATGTATTTTAAGAGCCCTTTTATCTTTTATCCTGGAAACATGGATATAAACTGTTTTGTTTTCAGATCAAAGGCAATTGTCTTTTTCAAATGTAGAGCCCTCTGAGTTGTCAACCAGCAATGAAAATCTCCACTGACTTTTAGCTAGTCCAAAAATTAAAATACAATTTAACTTCCTTTTCTTACATGTCAACTGTGGCAGGGGTCTCATAAATATAAGAAACAAATGTGCTCGCTTCGGCAGCACATATACTAAAATTGGAACGATACAGAGAAGATCAGCATGGCCCCTGCACAAGGATGACAAGCAAATTCGTGAAGCGTTCCATATATTTTTTTAATTAAAAAAAAAAAGAAACAAAAAAACCATATCTACGACTTGCTAAAGTAAAACTTTCTTAATGTGCAATATATGAAAATCGTGATGCATACAAGATCCTTGACTAATACAAGACACTCCTTTATTACCTGTCCATTCAAAATGCTTCCTGTCCACTGTGGGCCAAGCACTGATAGTTAAGATATTAGATTTACCACGCACTTTTCCTTAAATGCAGTCACGTGTATAGATTTAGTAATATTTTCCTTAAGCATAAAGACACTACAATCATATTACATATATGTGAAATCAACTATGTGAAAACACATACCCCTGGAACGTGTGTACATAAACGACATTGACATAAAATTGTGCTTCCCCCGAAGACTTTTCATTATTTCCTCTAATAATTTATAAATTATTAGACCGTATGTTATTCCACGCCTACATCAATTAATTATGCAGAAAATAATTCAACCAAATCCGAACTGTTAAGTCTTACTAGAAAACAAACACTAAAGAAGTCCCTACACCAGACTTATTTTCAAAGAGCTTCCTAAAACAACTCTGCACCATGCCCAATAAAGTGAAAGCTGGAAGCAATTAAGAAGAAAAACACACTTTAAAACAAAATTTTCTTTAACACATGTGGACAGGGCACCGAACGCAACGGGAAGCGGTGTGGCATGATTCTGTAAAGTGGACGCTGAATGGTAAATTTCCCAACCCCCAATCCAAAACAAAGGAAAACTTTAAACATGTTGCGGTTTTCAATCAAACCAAGTAAAGCCAGAGGCTCACCCACTCGCCCCACACACCCGATCCTCTCCCCGCACAGCTGCTACCGGCGTTAGCTGACACACGGAACCCCAGCCTTTAGGGCCGAAAGTGGCCGCTTCCCTCGCCCCTACTTCGGCTGTGCGGGCAAAAATAAACCTCGCCCCCACGTCGCGGGGCGGCCCACACGACCCCAAAGACAAGGGGTGGGGAGTGTCCCTACGCGCCTGGGACCTCAGGTCGAACTTAGGCGGGACCCGGCAGGACTGGACGGGGCAGGGACCGAGTCAGGGGGCGAGCAGGTAGCGCGGGGAAGGAGATGAGCCCGCCGGGCGAGCCGGGGGAGGGGAGAAGTTTCTTCCCAACTTCCCGACTCGGGCCCGCGGGGGCGGGGAACCGCGGCGACTCCGGGCGCCGGGGCCTAGCGCTGTCCCTGGCGGGGTGGCCCCCTCCGCCCGCGGGGCCCCTAGGGTCCTTACCTGTTTTATGGTCGCGCTCTCCTGAGTCGCTGCTACCGCAGCTCGGGGTGGCGGGCGGGGGCGGCGGGCGGAGGCGAGGCCCGCGGGCCCTCTCCCTCCTCCACCTCCTCGTCCCGGGGCGTACTGCGGCAGCAACGACGGCAGAGCCGGCCCGGGACGAGCTACTTCAGGAGGAGGGAGTTCCCGGGCTCCCCACCCGCCGGCCTCACTCTCCACCTTCTCTCCTCCCGGCCCCGCCCCCTCACTCCTCACGGGGCGGGGGCGGGGGCGGGGCGGGGGCTGCGGCTACCTGAGCGCGCCGCAGCCTGCTCACCGGAACTCGGGCCTCGCCGGCCCGGCTCCAGAGCCCCAAGCTTTCCGGCGCCGACGGCCCCCTCGCGTCCCCTCCGCGGAATCCGGGCCGCTTTGCTGTGGTCAGGTTTGGCGGCCAGTCCGTGTCATTTTTCCCGACCCAACATGGCGGCGGGGTCCGGGGCGGATTCCCCGGGCGGAGTAGACTGAGGGGGCGTGAGGAGGAGGAGGCGCTTCCCCGCCGGGAGAGCAGGCTGGCAGGGCCCCTGCCCACCCGGGAACCCACCGACGCTCGGCTGCCACGGGGATTGAATGGGGCGCCCCAATTCCGCCCCTCTGCCTTTCTCTTTTTCTTGGCCGGGTTCTGCGTAGTACCCAGAGCTTTGGGGCTTGTTTTTGTAGGGAAGGACGGGGTTGAGTTTATTTGGTTGACTGTTTGCTTCTCTGCACTAAGCTTCCGCACTCTGTCGTTAGTAGTAAAATCTCAGCCCAACCGCGTGAGCCGGGAGCGTTACTCACACCCTCATCACCATCCTGATCGCTGTCCAGAAAACGTTCACGTCTGGCCTCCTTCCGAGGCTGGGATGCTGTCCCTGCCCCCGGGAGCTTCCTGTTGACTGTAGGTCGAACCAGCCTTGCCGGGAGGGTAACCAAAGCTGAGTTGTGTTTGGCGACTATCCCAGTAATGGTGGCTTTGGCTTATGTTGGGACAGCATATTTCTATATGTTGCTGGCAGTAGACTAGTGAGGGAAGTGAGACAAGTATGGTTATCCTCCTCGACAATCGTGGAAACAGCGACCCCGAAACTCGAAGAGCCACAGCTGGAATCGTATCCATCTGAATCCATGCACCTTTCCTATGAGCCTTGTAGCCTGTTGCGGAAGAAGTGGGAGGACCCGGAAGGATGGGGTGGGGGCGTAAAGATGAGGGAGGGTTAATCAGGGTCCTCACGGTCCTCATGGAGCCTTGAGACTCTTCTGCTGCAGTCACTTCTGCCTTGTCAGACTTTTCGAGTAACTTCCTCTCCGTATTTCCTCTTTGGTGGGGTTATCAGAATTATTGTGTGACTATTGGTTTCCTTTGCGGTTTTTAGTGAAATTCAGAATCATCTTCAACAGATACGAAATAGTGCAATCTTATGTGTCAGTGTTCCGGTATTCTAGGAACTTAAGGAAATGCGTATAAGGGTTTGAAAACTTTTCTTCAGCTCACTAAATGAACGAAATGTAGGCATAGGCATTCAGAGGAACAAAAAGATACACGTAATGTGGAACGATGCCATATTTTTTTTTTTCTTTCTTTTTTTTTTTGAGATTGAGTCTCACTCTGTCGCCCAGGCAGGAGTGCAGTGGTGCGATCTCGGCTTACTGCAACCTCCGCCTCCTGGGCGATTCTCCTGCCTCAGCCTCCTGAGTAGCTGGGATTACAGGCATGTTGCACCACGCCCAGCTCATATATATATATATATATATATATATATATTTTATTTTTAGAGATGGAGTCTTGCTCTGACACCCAGGCTGGAGTGCAGTGGCGCAATCTCTCAATCTCGGCTCACTGCAATTTCTGCCTCCCGGGTTCAGGCGACTCTCTTGCCTCAGCTTCCCAAGTAGCTGGGAGTACAGGCATGAGCCACCACGCCCAGCTAATTTTCGTATTTTCAGTAGAGACGGGGTTTCACCATGTTGGCCAGTTTGGTCTCGGTCTCTTGACCTCGTGATCGCCTGCCTCGGCCTCCGTAAGTGTGGGGATTACAGGCGTGAGCCACCGTGCCTGGCCTAATTTTGGTATGCTTAGCAGAGATGGTGTTTCACCATGTTGGTCAGGCTAGTCTCGAACTCCTGACCTCGTGATCCCCCTGCCTTGGCCTCCCAAAGTGCTGGGATTATGGTAGTGAGCCACCGTGCCCAGCCTGCTGTATTTTCTTTAGCTACTAAAACTTCATTTGGGCCAGGCCTGTGGCTCACACCTGTAATTCCAGCACTTTGGGAGGTTGAGGCAGGCAGATCACCAGAGGTTGGGAGTTCGAGGCCAGCCTGACCAACATGGAGAAACCCATTCTCTACCAAAAATACAAAATTAGCCACACATGGCGGCACATGCCTGTAATCCCAGCTACTTGGGGAGGCTGAGGCAGGAGAATTGCTTGAACACGGGAGGCTGAGGTTTCAGTAAGCCGAGGTCAGGCCATTGCACTCCAGCCTGGGCAATAAGAGCAAAACTCTGTCTAAAAAATGCTTCACAAAAAAAAAAAAAAAAATCATTTGCCACTGTCTCAGGCATTGAAATTTTATGTAGGTTTATATTCAGCTTTTATTAGAAAATTCCTTGAGCTGTTGCCTTACTTCACTAAATAAAATAGAGATGTTTTCATCTTTCCAAATACTCAGTCTCCAAAAATCAACTCTAAAATAGGCTGGGCACTGTGTCTCACACTTGTAATCCCAGCATTCTGGGAGTCCAAGACAATCACTTGAGCCCAGGAGTTGGAGACCAGCTTGGGCAACATGGGAGACTGCCTCTCTATTTAGTAAAGTATATTAAAAAATAATAAAATAAAATAGTAGTTTGCCCCAGTTTAAGGGGTAAGGTGGCTTTGAATATGTTCTACATGGAGTTTTAAAGTTGGGAGAGTATGTCAGACTGTCAACTACAAGCTATAGATTACATTGACTTACTGAGTTCTTTGCCCTCACTTTGATTTTTTTATTACCTCCTTTCCTGATTTCTTTTTCAATCTATTCATCATCTAATGCCAAACTTCAGTCTGTAAATAACCTGGAAAGTTTTCAATTTTATATTTAGTGGCTCACTTGTTTCCAGGAATTTTTTAAAAAATTTTTTAATGAGGAAGAGAAAATCTGGAAAGTCTCACTGAGTTTGGTATAACAAAAATTGCTCTTAATCTGTTTATCCTGAAACGGACAAATAAGATTGCCCCTACTTTTTCCTCCTGCACAGCACAGAGGTGTGGTATGTATATGTGTGTTATGGAGTGATAAGGAACTTAAGTCTTGAAACCTCTGGGAAAGTCTGCTGGAGGAAAAAGCTAGGGGAAAGCTTTAAACAAAATTTATAAGATATGTTAGGTCCCTATAAAAGTAAAATGTTTTCATTTATATAAGTTTATTAATGCTTAAAATTATTTGGCTGGAAGTTTGAAAGGTCGAAAGTTGAACTAGTGCCCACTTAATACCACCTTGGAACCTGTGATTCTACCAGGAAATGTTTTGTTTAGGATAAACCCCTCCTACATGCTATCAGTGATATGCTGCTGCTGCTGCTTCCGTCACTGAGGCTATGATAATGATTTTCTCTTCCTGGTAACAGTGAAAAAGGCTGCAGCCCACAAGGTGCATGTATTGCTTTTTCTCTAACAACCATCCCCCTCACCATCTCCTCATATCCATTCAGTGCCTGATGTTATCTTAGCCTTGCCTTTTCCACCTGGCCAAGACTGCTCATATGCCCAGTTAGGAAGAATATGAGAATCCTTCTAAGCAAAAATTTAGAAGATCAGGAAAAATGAAAGTATTTCTCCTTGAGTGTTAGGCCCATTGTGCCAAGCTCAGTGGAGAAATGCACCAACCCATCACGTTCTCAATGCTCCTGATGTCTTTCTTCATTGCCTCAAGGACTGAGGTTCTTGTATTACAGTTTTATTTCCCCCAACTGAGCAAGGACTGTCTAAGTGAGCTAAATAAATGAATATATAAGGACGATGAATAGATGCAATGCATAGATGTCAATCAAATATGTCTTGCAATTAATAAATGTGAAACATGGCAATCTTCCATGAACTTCAGCAAGTCTACCTCCATCTTCTTGCTCCCTTTTGTTGCTCTCTCTAGCTTTTAACTTCTTCAATACCTGGTTTACAGTCTTAGAATTTCACCCTGAGCCCATTATGCCTTCTCCACTCTAGAACTATTTCTGGCAATATACTCTTTGCTGCTGGAATCTACTTTGGGGATATCTCTTGTTTTATTTCTGATTTCAATTCTTTCTAGTTCTGCAGTTTGATGCAGGCCTGTTGTATCTACCAAAGTCCCTGGTTTCTGATCTAGCTTCTGATTCCACTCTGCTTATTCCTAGGTAGATTTACCCACAGTTTTAGACTTTCATAGGCTCAGCTTGGTTTCTCACTCTGTTTAGCGACAGCAGTTTCTTTTTTCTTTTCTTTCTTTTTTTTTTTTTTTTTTTGGAGACGGAGTCTCACTGTGTCATCCAGTCTGATGTGCAGTGGCACAATCTTAGCTCACTGCAACCTGTGCCCCCCGGGTTCAAGCAATTCTCCTTCCTCAGCCTCCCAAGTAGCTGGGATTATAGGCGCCTGCCACCACGCCCAGCTAATTTTTGTATTTTTAGTAGAGACAGGGTTTTGCCATCTTGGCCAGGCTGGTCTTGAACTCCTGATCTCATGATCCACTCGCGTCAGCCTCCCAAAGTGCTGGGATTACAGGCATGCGCCACCGTCCTCGCCAGTGACAGCAGTTTCTAGGCTGGATGAGCACCTTACATCCTCTCACATGCCCTCCGCCAAGTAGAATACAGCGTGTAGTGGACACCTCTTTAGGGTGCGTGTTTAACTGAAGTTCCTCTTCTCTGAGAATTAATTCTTCAATAGGTGGCATGTAGGTCTATGATCTGAGTACTACTAATCCCAGGCTCCAGGCTGAAAGTTTGAATTTTGAGGAGTAACACAAAAGTGACTTGGTGTTTATTCATGGTGGCCATGGTGTAGTTGAGCCAAATGGGAGAAGGTAAGTGTCCAGGGGTAGAGGATTCCAGTGCTGCTGGTGCCTGCCTCGTGAGCATACCATCCCCGTGGCAGAACCTGGACTTTTTCTTGCCTTCCTTGCTTCCTGCCTGAGCCTGCTCCTCTAATCTTCCTGTTGATTCTCACCTTCCTCC